TTGTGTATAGCAAAAGAGAACATTAAATGTTACTATTAGTTGCCATAGAGATGGGCATAAGTTCAGTTTAAGTGACAGCTTCTTTATGCTCCACAATATTTTAAAAAGGAAGTCACGTGGACGCTTGAATTGTTGCACTTATTATTATTATTTGTATTATTATAAAAATGACCTACATGAAGAATGAAGAAAACACTGAAGGGATGTCTCGGACTAATGGAAACAAAACTGAAAGATGCAAATTTTTATTTATTATTGTTCTTTGTTAGGTTTCTATGCTCTCCCTTTCTCCAGAAATTCAGGTTTGTATAAGACTCTCTTCACCATTTTTTACCACAACATTGACCTGAGAAATGATAAGGATTCATTTTCACACTCAGAAACATACTTAACACTGGTTTCCTTTCTTTGTTTCAGTAGAAACAGCATAAAAAACAGGGGGCGGGGTAGAATGGATGGGGATGAAGTTATTGGACGGGGAAGGTAAGAGAAGAGAAGAGAAGAGAAGAGAAGAGAAGAGAAGAGAAGAGAAGAGAAGAGAAGAGAGGCATTTATAAAAAAGATTGATTTCTCTTTCCATAGCAATTCACAGTTCGTAAATTTATACTCCACATCATTCAAGTGATTATAAAGCAGAGATTTCTCATGCCTTAGAAACTGCTTGTTTCTGATACTCCATAGGTTGAAAATGTATGAAATAAAACATAAAGATTTTCTAAAAATAATGAGGGAGAAAGCTTTGTAGACCTCTGGGGTAAGGTGTTACTAAACATAGAGGTGGGAGCCACCACAGAGAAGACTGGTGGTCTTGTCCACGACACCTGAATTCAGAGGGGAATCAGATACTTAATGGATCTTGCAACAATTTCAATTTGGGCTAGGTGATGCTTGGTGTAACCCAATGCAACTCTATATCAAGTTATAGATCATTACCACTCATGGAATTGGGCCTTCTGGTAATCTGGGCAACAAGTAGTTGCCCAGATTACCAATGGTGGGGCTGATCATTCTGTAGATGATCAGTGTATAGATCTGAGGATCTACTATAGATCTTTTAGATCATTCTGAACTTCTTGATCATCTCTAGAAGTTGAGCCAGATAGAGTACATTACAGCAATCCAGCCAGCTGCTGACCAAATCATGCTGACATCAGAACAACTTGGCTAAGGTAATGTCCTAACTGATGTACAAAGCAAAGTTTGGCACAAAGTACCTTTTCCCACCCAGCCTCTACTTGCTTTTGAAGTAGGGAGATCCAGAAGGATATCTAAATCATGCGAGTAAGGAGTCCAGAAGAAGAATATCATGGCTTCAAAACCTAAAGGACTGGTTTGGACAAAACTCAGCGGCACTTTTTCATATGGCTGTTGACAAAAATAGGATCACCAACGTCCGATGACAGACATGGCACAAGAAGAAGAAGAAGAAGGAGTCCAGAATCATCTTCATTTTATTAAATTTCATTTCATTTTATTAAATTTGTATACCGCCCTACTCCCGAAGGACTCAGGGTGGTGAACAGGCACAAAATAAAACACATAAATACAAAAGTTAAAAAACATAATTAAAACCAAATTAAATAATTTTTGCCCGAGACAATTAAAATTCCCAATAATTTAAAACAAATTAAAATTTCAATTTAAAAATTTAAAAGAAGGGGAGAAAATTAGGCCAGGCCGGCCTGCTGGAATAGGAGTGTCTTCAAAGCACGGCAGAAAGTGCGCAGATCTGGGATCCTCCGTATCTCCGGGGGGAGCTCATTCCAGATAGTAGGTGCCCCCCTCTCTCATTTCCTTGGATGGTAACTGATATACAGAAGCTAAATTGATCTTAGGTTGCATCATCCAGAGTTTGACAGACTCCAGGCCCCAGTTTTTCATCTTGGCCTAGGGTGGAAATATACACTGAATGTCATCAGCTAGATGGCCTCCCTCCAGAGTCTTTGTATGGGGAGAAGTCCTGAGCAATGCAGTATCTTGCATTGGAATGAACAAGGCTTCAAGTATTGTCCCTCCATAACTGTTAACTCAGGAGCGCAATGGCTGCAAAACAGTGCTGCTAATCCCGTTCCTTGCAAGCAATCCAGTAAGATACCATGATCAATTGTATTGAAAGATGCTGAGAGGTCTAGTAAGACCAGGAGAGGAGCAGTCCCTTCATCCATGTCCCAACAAAGATCATCCACCAGAGTGGTTAATGTCATTTCTATCCCACAAGTTGATATGAGTTATCCATTATCCATTTTGTAGAACTCTGAAGTTGAGTCAACACTTCTTTCTCAACAACCTTCCCCCAAAAGGAAGGTTAGAGATAGGATATAAGGAGTAAAAAACAAACAAACAAACTGGGGAAGGGCTTCAAGAGGGGGTACTGAACCACTTCCTTTAAAATAGATGTCATTACTTCCTCCCTGAGAGAGGTGCCGGCAATTTCCTAATCCAGTTGCTTACATTCTGCAGGGAAACCATGAATCCCAGCCCCAGGAGGAACCGCTCATACTGCAGAGCATATGAATGTCTGTCGGCTTCCAGTCTCTTTTTCCTTCCCTTCCAGGATCTGAATCATTATAGCAACAGTTATAAACACAATCCAGTGATTAGAGGGAGGTAAGGCAAATCTGTTACCAATACATCAGTGTGCACTTTAATCTTTTATATACCAAGCATTCAAAAAGGAGGTTATTAATTTGATCTTTTGGAATCCTGCTTCTTAATCCTGCAAATTCCTTAAAGAGAATTTTGCATGATATGGAAAACAAAATTAGGTTCAGCTAATCCAGAATCCAATTTTGCTAAAATCCAAATGGCAAAATTTCTATACTAATTGGCTTATAATTCATTACATTTGCATTTTTCCTTATAAGAGGAACATACATTGATTTCATTCCCAAATGTAATCTGTGACAGAAAGGTTTCCCATTCATGTTGTGATCACTGCCTCTGCCGGCTCAACTAATCTGAATTTCCTTTCTTCTCTTACTTTTTGAAAGAAAAACAACAACAATGTATTATTTAAAGCACATAGGTTTTGCAATATACTAGGTTTCTAGTGTAACAATTTACACAATTAGCTGATACAGTTGTTCTTCTCTATACAGAAATTTAATATTTCTCAGCATCTCTTTTGTTGAAAGATGGTAGAATTGATTTATATAGCATCAATTGACTGAAAATGGGGAACTCAATACATTATAATATTGTCTGTTTCCTCACCAGGTGCACATACCCTTCTAATGAAATGGAAATATTTGTTTCCCCTTTCGATGTACAATTTAACCTTCACCTGATAAATTTCTCAAGGGAGATAAAATCCAGGAACAGTGAATTTTGGCTGGTTTATCATCTTAGTGGGTAAGAAGGATTCTGTAGCTGGGTGACGCACAGAGAAACATGATATAAAAGCTATGCAATGATTTATACATAACCATAGAATACTAGATTGAATTTCTTGAACGTACATTACATTAAAAAAATGTAATCGAGACACATTTGTAATCGAGAGACTTTTGAAAGCTTATTTATTAGAAATGGGCAACTATTAATTCAAAGAAAAAAGTTTGGTGAGGGTGAGGTTTAGTCAGGTTCGGAAGCATATTTATTGTGCCATTATATAGAACATTCATCAACATTCTACCAAATGTGAGCAATATCCCAAAGTGGAAATCGTCTGGCTGAAGCATCAGTTAAAATCTTGGGGCAGAAAAAGTGGTGAGTTGTATAGGGCAGGGGTCTCCAACCTTGGCAACTTTAAGACTTGTGGACTTCAACTCCCAGCTTTGCTGGCTGAGGAATTCTGGGAGTTGAAGTCCACAAGTCTTAAAGTTGCCAAGGTTGGAGACCCCTGGTATAGGGGAAAGAGAAGACAAAAGTTTGATTCCTGGACAGCCACAATAATCAAATGGCTAAGCCAAGAAGACAGACCTCAGTTAAAGCAAAGGAAATACAGTAGTAAATAATACAGGTAGTCCTCAACTTACAACCTTTTGTTTAGTGATTGTTCAAAGTTACAACAGCACCGATAAAAGTGACTTATGACCAGTTTTCACCCATATGACCTTTGCAGCAGCCACATGGTCATGTGATCAAAAAAAAGGCTTGGCAACTGGCAGGTATTTATGATGATTGCAGTGTCATGTGATGACCTTTTGCAACTTTCTGACAAACAAAGTCAATGGGGAAGCCAGAGTCACTCGACAATCCTGTTACTGAGTGATTTACTTAACCACTGTGACAAGAAAGGGGTCAAGATGGGGCAAAACCTGCTTTTACCACTGCCTTGCTTAGCAACTGAAATGTTGGACTCAATTGCGATCGTAAGTTGAGGACTACTTATAACCCAAGAAGCAGGAATACAATGCAAAAGTGGTCAAAGAAGTGGTATGACATAGAGCAGGGGTCAGCAACCTTAAACACTCAAAGAGCCACAAAGGTCCTAACGGGAAGCCCCCTGTTCAATTCTGGAGCCAACTGGAAGTCCGGTTCCCCCACCACAGAGTCTCCTCCTAGCGTGGCATCCTTTTTCCTCTACCTGTCCTAACTGAAAACCCTATCAATTGTGGAGCTGACTGGTGTCGGGGAGCCACAGCAGAGGAATGAAAGAGCCACATGCAGATCCAGAGCCGCAGATTGCTGACCCCGACATAGAGAAAGGAGGAGAGGGCTGCCAGAAAACTTCCTACCAGGAAGAATTGGATGGGGAGAAAATTCTTCAGAAGATCTAAGAACAGGAAGAGGGGGGAGAGAAGAGTTCCAACTTTTCATAGTTATTTAAACTCATCTGTGAAAGGTTTTGTTGAGGATTCTTGCGGATGCAAATCGCAATAATCAGAATAGTTCGACTAGGGTAGGGTTGTTACACACACACACACACACACACACACACACACACACAATCAAACATACAATCAGTGGCTTTTCATGAGCAATTGTTGCCATGCGTTTCCAAAGGGAGGAGGAAAAAGCAGGTTCTGCCTGAGAGAGAGGTTGGAGGGGAGAGAGAGAGAGAGAGACTCTGCATTTCATTTTAGAAAATGCCATTTATAATTGCTCACACTGTTACTTGGCTCAGAAGATGAGTTGCGTTGCTTGAAATCACACAGCATATTTCGTCCTGATTAACAAATACTCCAAAACCTTTTCAGGAACAGTGGAGAAGACAGACGGGATAATTTTTTTAAAAAATGTAAATAAAATGGAAAGGATAGCAGGAAAGAGATAGACGAGCCAGTAATATAAAGCTTCTCTTCCTGATCCCCCACCCACCCCTTAATTTTCTTTAATTAGCAGACAAACATATTCTGAGAACAGGGGCTCTTTCATCTCATCTCTGGGCAAAGGACTACCAAATTCAGGTAGCAGGTTGAGAGAAGCCACTTGCTGGAATTGAGAGAGGATTTAAAAGAATCCTACAACAGAGACCGACCGCTTAGCTTTACTCGATGGTATATAGGACGATTCAGCAAAGGACGTGATATTGGTGAGTATTGTACCATTCCCCCCCCCCCTAGAAACAGACTTGCTTTCTTTAAAACAAAATATCTTTAGTTTGCTCCTGCTCTGTATCTTTTGAATGCTTGGGGGTGGGCAGGCGGGGGAAGGGGAGAGAAGCTTTATAACATGTATTCCCCCCCCCCCCTTGTAAATCTATGGTGGCAGCTCTTCATTGTCCTTATTTCCCATTCTGAATGAACATTTTTGGCAAACTAGGGGGCTTAACCTTTGTGCTCACTTTTCATCGCTGAAACATTTCTAACGCATCTTACTTTATGGCATTATTGAAGGAGGGGAGAAGCAAGCCTCAAACTGCTAGGATGGTAGTTCTTGATAAGAGCTGGTCCTGGTCACTGAAGCCTTTTATTGCCTTGCGTGTTTCTCATAATGTAACTTTATAGCCTCATTACTCTTTTGGGTCAATCATCAAAACGGGGCAAACGGATGAATAAATGACTAGGCAGGAAGCACTGATATAAGTTAATAATTGTGTTTGTGTGTTCTTAGCAATTTGGTGCAAAACAACGGCAGAACAAAAGAATGGAGGAAAGTGGGACAGAATCTTCATTTTCATACAAATATTCTCATTCACAGACCCACATTCACGCATACCACATACACACATATGCTGTTGTTGAGAAAGTTTGTTTAGTAGATGGAGCTGGGGGGGGTCTGTCTGATCATCTTGAGGGTAGTGTCACCTTCTGTTGCCTGGTAACGTCCTTCCCTGCTGTTTTGCTATCAGATAAAATAAGCCCAGTCAATGTTATACATTATTCATCTGCGTTCCAATCAAATAATCAAAATTATTTGCTTGCACTGGGGAATATTTAACCAGATCAAAAGAATCTGGACTGGAAAGCACTGGATTATTGCCACTGGCAGGCAGTTTTTGGTATGTGTCCATATATGTCTGTGTGCATGTGTACACATACACACACATTATTATTAGTAATTATATTTTGGTGTTATCAATACTAGCAGAAACCTATACTGAAGAATTGCAGAGGTTGGCTGATTCCACAGGCATGTAATTACCAAAATCAGTTAATGCTAACTATTGAAATTAAAGTGCTAAATTAGGTTAATAGAGTTGGGTTTTTTTTTCTTTTGAGATATACACTCTTAAAAGATCTTTAGAAATGCTAAGAAAAGGAAACCATCTGTTTCAAAGCATTTTTAAAAGAGAAGAATGCAGTAAAATCTATGTCTACATATAATTGTTTGGCAAATGCTGCACCTAAACACATAACATAACTATTTTGCAGAGGAAGAAAACTTATAAACCAGTGAAAGGTAAGATAGATCCAGGATTGCTGTTTTAAAAAATACTGTGTGCATATCTGTGTGTCAAGAAAAACACTACACCTCAGAACTCAACTTTTACCAAAAACCTCTGACAATTGGTAAGGCTAATTACTGTCTCTAGCATTTAAAACCTGTCAGTGTGAAGTCATTTTAACCCTCCCTCGTGAAATCTTTAAGAATTTAAAATCGACTGACTCATTTCAAGCAAAAAAAAATATAAAAATCTAATCCTCTTGGAACTACCATTCCCCCCCCCCCCGTAAGCTGTAATTGTTATAATTTCTTTGCTAATAGATATCTGGGTTGCTTAGAATTTTAATGCAGTTAACATAATATAGTAACCGTCAATACTTTTAAGAGGAAAGCAGATAGCAAGAGGTGTTTTAAAGGATGTGTTTTATATACAGAAACGCCTAAGATCTAAAAACCTTCATGATACATGAAGGTATATATATGCGTGTGTGTGTTTTATAGCGATAAATATTGGGGGAATTCAATGACTATGCTAGGTTAACATAAACATTGCATATATGTTCATTAAATTAAGTTACTTTAAATATTGCAGGGATTTTATATTTAAAGATATTTCTTCCTTTTTCAGGAAACTGGCTATATCAATTTGGGCAGCTGAATAACTGACCGCGAAATCCTCCAAGATGGATAGTCCATTCAAGATGGATTATCTGCTGGATGTCGATGCTGCTTACCGGCTGTTTTACAGTCAAGGAGCTCAAGGTATTGTTTTGAGATGGATATTTTTGCACTGCTCACCATTAAAGACATGGTGGCCCTCTGGTGGAAAAGGCACCAGGGAAAATTAAAGCTCCTTTCTCCAGAATGAGCTGAGAACTGAAGACATCAAGGCAGCTTGAGGTCTAAAACTGTATAAAGGAAGTATTTATTTTTTTAAATGTGGAAATATGATATAAATAAATAAATAAATAAATAAATAAATAAATAAATAAATAAATAAATAATTTTATTTCTATACCGCCCTTCTCCCGAAGAACTCAGGGCGGTGTACAGCCTATTAAAAACACAAAGACAAACATCAGTTAAAAATAATTAAAATTATTACATAATTTCGGCTCAGATTTAATATGCAAAACAGATTGGTAGAGATTGTGAACACAAGCTGTTCTAGATCAGCTGTCTTCTTCAAACAGAATGATGGGTGCCTTTCTTTCAAATAATAGTAAATGAAACAAGATAGTGGTGGCAAAGGGCCAGCACTCCAAAAGAAAAGAAAAAAAGAAAAGAAAAGAAAAGAAAAGAAAAGAAAGAAAGAAAGAAAGAAAGAAAGAAAGAAAGAAAGAAGACAAACATTGATACACTTTTCCTGGCCCAGATTGAAGCCAATGTATAATAATGTATTTTCAAAGTTTAAAAAATATCTAAAGATTAAGCGTATGACTAATAGTCTATTCTATTCCAGTCCAGTCCAGTTCAGTCCATCCCACCCCATCCCATGCTGTCAGCTTAATGCTGAATCTTAGTAATTAAATAGATGGACTTTCTCTAGGATGGTACTGTAAATCCTCAACATGGTGTTTTGTGATTTGCTTAGTAAAATGCAGAAGGGGTTTAGCATTGTGTTCTCTCATAGAGTCTGAAATTATGCCTTTGCTGTTATCACTAAAGTGAACCAATATACTACAATTATTCTTCCTGGGATTGGCTCTTCCAGACAATTTTTAAAGATTAATAGCAAACAAAACAATGGAGAATATTAGACAGGAGGGTTCGTATAATCATATATGTATATGTATAGGTATAGGTATAGGTATAGGTATAGGTATAGGTATAGGTATAGGTATAGGTATAGGTATAGGTATGTATATGTTTTCTTTTCTTTTCGTAGGCCTTTATGTATATATCTCTTTAGCCAGGTTCTTCCTACGTAAACCAAGATTTTTATGCAGCCCTAGTTCAGTGAAATCCCAATCCACTAGTTTCTAGGCTTTTTTTTAGAAAAGAAAAAAAAAAAAAAAAAAGCCTAGAAACTAGTGGATTGGGATTTCACTGAACTAGGGCTGCATAAAAATCTTGGTTTACGTAGGAAGAACCTGGCTAAAGAGAAATACATACATACATACATACATACATACATACATACATACATATAATGTTTGCCTTCATACCATACCGTATTTGTTATATAAGGAATGTAACAAATATGGTATGGTATGAAGGCAAAAATTAGCTAGTCCTTGACTTATGACAATTGAACCCAAAATTTATGTTGCTAAGCAAGACAGCTAAATGAATTTTGTTCCATTTTAAACCTTTCTTGCCATAGCTGTTACGTGAATCACTGCAATTGTTAAGTCAGTTACACGGTTGTTAAGTAAATCTGACTTCCCCATTGACTTTGCTTGTCAGAAGGTCACAAAAGGGGATTACATAACCCCAGGACACTGCAATAGTCATAAATATGAGTCAGTTGCCAAGTGTCTGAATTTTGATCATGTGGCCATGGGGATGTTGCAACAGACGTGTGAAAAATGGTCGTAAACCACTCTCTTCAGTTCCATTATAACTTCAGTCACTAAATGAACTGTTGTAAGTCGAGGACTATCTATATTGTACATGAAATAGATCTATGTTTAAGAATGAACAAGAATACATGCCTCACATTTATTAGAAATGTGGCTATTGTCCAATGCATACATAGGCTCCTTTTAACCTTCAAAATGGGAGATGCAATCCTGAGTCTTCCACTGTTATGATTTGTTTGGTCATCTATACCTTTACAACTAAGGCCTTGTGGGAAATATTTAATCCTAAGGGATAAATTCAAATATTGAGAGTCACATTCTTTCATTAAAGGTGAAAGGACAAAGGGACATTATCAGGAGAATGGAGGCAGTAGAATGTGCTCAAGGAAAATATAAGAAAACTTCTAAAGGCATATGCTAAAGATTGATGGAGATATAATATTTATTTGATGGAGGTATAATATTTATTGTCCAGATGCTACCAAGATTTGCAGAAAGTAAATTCTAGTGATGTTAAGTCATTTATTTATCTCAACCCATCACCAGCCACTACAACATAACAATTAGACTTTTGGGCAAAAACTTTGGAGATGGGGAAATATCAGGATTTAATGAATTAGTTAAAGAGCTGTGTAACCAAGCAATGCCATTTTAATTGATCATTTGGGACTTGCCATTTTTATTGAAAGGGAGTTCACTTTACACTGTAAAGTCTTCACAGCCATCCTCTTGCACAATTGGTAGAAAAGAAGAAATGTAATGTAACTGTGGAAAGTTGGAGGAAATAGGGTTTGCCTCAAGAATGTCTTTTCTTTTGGTGTTATCTTAATATTGGACCCATCCTTCAAAGTTGACAACTAATCCTAAAGAAAGGGCCAAGTTACGCATTACACTAAATATGCAGTTTAGGAGTGGAACTGCAGGAGGTGGAAAGGATATAGATCTTCTAAAGTCTTTCATCTACACCAGTGTTTCTCATCCTGGACACCTTTAAGATGTGTGGACTTTAATTCCCAGAATTCTCCAGAACTCCCAGAATTCTGGGAGTTGAAGTCTACACATCTTAAAGTTGTCAAGATGCGGAAACATAGACCTAAACCATTCTCTGAACAAAAAATGGGTTTTAATTCAGAAGAATTTACTTTTGAGAAACCATGCTTAGCTTCCATACTGTCCCTCTGAAATAATATTCAGATTGTGATGTGATCCATTAAGGATGTTCCTCAATCTGGGCATGAAACTACAGAGAACTAGCCAGAACAAAATAGTTCCCTGGTACTGAGCTGATCATGATATTGGCCTCTGTCCTTAGTGTCTTATTCCAAGGGTTTAAAGGACTCTCTGAAATCACTCCAAAGTTTAATTCAAAATCTTACAACTATTGTATTCTGTGATTATTGGAATAGGACCATTACCTCTCACGCATTTAGGCTTTGGAAAGAGAGAGTGAAGTATGATAATTTGTCAATGTAATCTATTCTCATCTAACAGACATTAGTGTAATGATATCCATTTTTAATAAAACCAACTTGTAATAAAAAGAACTTTAAGGTGGAATTATCTTTTTCAGCTTGAGTAGCCTGGGGGGATCTTGCTTTTTTTACCTTGTATCTTTCTGTACGTGGTTTTAAAAGAAAGCACTTATCAAGTAAAGGTTCTCCTGAAAACTGCTCATAGTTGCTACTCAATTTAAATCACTTCAAAGAAACCCATTTTTAGAAAAAGCATGGAGTAACTGACTCTTCTTCAGTACTGTGATTAAGATATTCAACCCAAAAATTCTAATATTATAGAATTATATCATTAATACAACTACTAAGACAAGACCCATTCTCTTTCCCATGCTAAGAGATTTCTTGTAGGGGAAGTTGATTTTTGCTGTTGTGTTGTAATAAACACAGCAGTACTTTAAAAAGACCAGAGTTTAAAACGTGTGTTATCTATTTTACCTGGTTAGGTCACACACATTCTGCTGTATAAATAAATGTATGTGATTTAAAATAAAGTGGGATAAATAAGGCTATGAATCAATTGTGCAAACATGAGCAGGATATTAATATTGCATTATTAATACATGGCAAGTTGTGTTGTTGCCAAAATGGAAAACCACATTCCCAGAGTAATAGTCGATGCTATATTTGAAATGCTTATTCTGTCCTTATTAGACTGTATTAACTGAATAACATTAATTGTAACTGGATTTAAAGTAAACAAAACAGTGGTGAAATCTAAAATTTGTTACTACCGGTTCTGAGGGCATGGCTTGGTGGTGGGGTTAATGTGACTGGGTGGGCGTGGCCAATTTTTTTTAAAAAACTTTTAAAACCATTTTTTCTACAACCTCTTCGGCGAAGAGGTTGCAAAAAAATACTTTTAAATGGCTCTGACGATCCAAGCTGAGTTGCCTGATTGCTGATCAGGCAACTCAGCTGGGATCGTCAAGCTTGGATCGTCAGAGACATTTAAAAGAAAAAAAGCCTCTGATGATCGCATGGCTCAGCTGGGCATGGGGGGGCAGCATTTCACCCCTGAAACAAAATCATTTCTGAGTTCACTGACTTGCCCCCCCACCCCAACCACACACAATAGTAGTGTCTTTCTCACTTTCTGCCAGCAGGTGGCACTGCAATGGAAAAGGACTGCCTCTTCAGTGTGAATTTTCAACCAGATTCAATAACTGATTAGAGTACTCTTAATTGTGGCTCTTGTTTTACAAAAGTAACTGACTACTAAACTGAATAAAATAATGCATTTTCTCAATGTTAAAAAAAATGGAGGAGAGGAGGTATTTTCCAACATATACATTTTCATCTCACACCTCTATGCTATCAGAATAGGTTTAGTTCATTCAGTAATTGAAAGCCAATAGGAAAATTTCACTAATTACTAAATACCTTGTAATTTCTAATCCAATGATATTTTTATTTGAGATTATAGTTCATAATCCTAGTAGCATATGGGCCTGTGCAATGTTTTCAATTTTTTTTTACTTCAAAGTTGTTGCCTAATATTGTGAAAGTTTTTGGATTAAAGACCAAAAGGTATTCCAGGCATGGATCGACCATCTGTCTGCAATTCTTTAAAGCAGCACATTTATTTTTGGGATAATGCAATGTTAAGAAAAGATACCACTACTTTAAGAACCTGCAGGCAGATGGTATGTTTGATTCTTTCAACTGTGCATTCTGAAGCACATTCTGAAATCAAATCCAGCACAGTGCACCATTATACCATATA